TTTTAGAAAAACAGAATCTGAATAGCTTCTATGCATTTTTCATAAGTTAGCAATTCATCTTAACATTTTTACTGAACTAAATAAAAATTGTGTATGGGCTCAGTACTTGACTGTGTTTTTCAAACTACAAAAGATTACACAAGCCAGCAAAATGTAATATTTTATCCATTTCACAAACCAGACTGGTTGTTTTAAGCTAACATAGATGCACTGATCACGAAACTGAGCTAGTCTCTGTAGCATAAGGTTTTTAAGTCTTGCTATTAATATTTTGGCTACATATTTAAGGTTGAAAACCCACGTATGTTACCTAACAATCATAAGTATTGTATTACGCATAGGTATTAACCCTTTCAGGGTCCACAGGCCCTCTCAGAGACTTGTTCTCAGGGTCCCCCAAATTTCAAAAAAAAAAAAAAAAATTATTGTGAAAAGATAGAAGATCTTTTCCCAATCATAATGACACCAAAAGTATGAAATTTGATGGAAAACTTGCAGAATTATGCTCTCTTGAAGTTAGCGGTCACGACGGTGTTTACGCATCAGCGATTTTGCCCACTTTGAGCCTTATTTTCAGCCAATTCCAGTGTACTAGTCAACAAAAACCATACCTATTTCGCTAGAACTCTATTTTTTCTATCGAATGAGTACAAGAAACTATCCATTTACCGATTTAAACTATCCAATACAGTGGTCAGAATTTAGCAATTTTACCAATTTCACACGAATTTCAAAAGATGCCAATTTCCAAATAAGGTTCACAATTAACAAAAAAGACATTCCTGGCACTAAAATAACATTTCCTCTGTTCATTAGTCGCATCCCCACGCCCCTTTTACATTCTTTTGCTTTCCATTTTGAATTTTTATTCTCTCAAAAAATGGAAGATTTACTGTTATGCAGACTACTGCATTAGTGTAGAAATGGTATAAATAATATCGGCGCACTTGTGAAAGAATATTAGACTCGCCAGTTGATGTGTATTGGACACTTAGCATGATTTGTTTACTTTTGAACTCTGGTAAAAATCGAACATTTCTGCTACTTTGAGCTCAATTTCAAGGTACTTTTCATTGTAAAACCAGTCAGAATCATCACAATTTCTGTTATATGTCTTCCATTTTATCAAATGAGACCAGGAAAACTAGAATACAACAATAAATACCATACGAAAATACAGTGCAAAGTAGCTGTTTTAATCCAAAATCAAGTTTTTTTTTTTTTTTGTCATGCACTGTGTGCTGCAGGATTTTTTTTATACTGCACACACACTGACCACATAGACCTATTTTTTCATATGTAGGCCTACCAGCTTTCACTAGATTTGAAGGCACTAGAATTTGAGTACTAGTACGTCAAGGACCCTGGCACGTAAGCCGTACTAGTACGGGCGAAACCCTGAGAGGGTTAAGTGTGGTGTATACAATGAGAAACTAAGCTTCCTTAATGTAAATTCGTAATACAGTGGAACCTCGGTTGTCGAACTTGATTCGTTCCAGATGTCGGTTCGACATCCAAACCAATTTTTCCCATAAAGAATAATGTAAATAGAATTAATCCATTCCACACCAAAAATGACAATATACAGTGGACCCTCGGTTGTTGTTCATAATTCGTTCCAGGTCAGCCTAAAACCAAAATAATATATCCCACAAGAATTAATGTAAATACAATTAATCCGTTCCACACACCCAAAAATATTAACAAAAAATGCATTTTTAAAGATTAATTATAGTTTTACATAGACAAAACAATGAGAACTTAATAAAATAAATAAATGAACATTTAAATCACTGTTACATATCTTTATTGAAGACTCTTGTTGGCTTATGGAAGACGGGGAGGAGGAGAGAGGGAGGACTGATTGTTTGGAAGGAGAATCCCCCTCCATAAGGACTTCAGGTATCAAAGCCCTCTCTGGGGTTACTTCCCTGCATGCCTGCTACACTTTCTCCATGCTACACTTCTTCCCTTCCATGCTACACTCCCTAAGACTCGAATACCACTCTCATACTTTTCAACAACTTTTTTATTAAATTCCATTGTGTTTCTCACTTTCTTTACCAAAGGAACTTTACTAGGAACTTTCTTTGGGGCACTTAATCAGTAATCACCAAAAACAATGGATTATAGCAACATGTTTGGATGAATGAGCAGAAGCTTCCTCACTCACCTAGAGAGACAGATAGACTGATGCGCAAGCCACTGGCGGTGGCAGGTTGACGTGTCCCATTGGCCGATAAGCGAAATAACGGCTGATAACTGGAAGCCGAAAAACCAACCAGTAACCAAGTTGGCCAATAAGTGGAACAGCCAATAACCGAGGGTCCACTGTAATAATTTATTAATAATTTTGTGCAAACTACTACATAAAAGTGTATAAAATTATACAGCACATGGAAACTGTAAAAATGAATACTAAATGAAAATTTAACTGAAATACTGTGCAGTAAATTAAAATTTAATGGCCTCTTACCTGTCAGAGGAGAGCTAATGGCAAAATTCTAGCAGCTTCAAATTATGCAGGAGAAAGTTGGTAGACCTACATGGTCAATATGTGCAGTATAAAAAAAAAAAATCCTGGAGCACACAGTGCATAATGAGAAGAAAAACTGCAAGCGTTTTTGGTTTAAAACAGTTACTTTGTTGTGTATTTTCGTATGGTATTTATGGTTGTATTCTCATTTTCTTGGTCTCATTTGATAGACTGGAAGATCTATTACAGAAATAAAGAAGATTTTTAATGGTTTAAAGATTAAGAGTAGCTTGAAATTGAGCTCAAATTAGCGGAAATGTTCGATTATTGCCAATGTTCAAGCGTAAACAAATCACTTCACATGTCCAATACATATCAACTGGTGGGTCTAATGTGCATTCATAAATGCACTGGTATTATTTATACAATTATTACATTTATGCAGTATGAATACTAAATCTCCTATTTTTTGTGAATTAAAATTCAAAATAAAAATCAATCGCAAGAGGGGACCTGGAGACATGACTAATGAACAGATAAAATGTTAGTTTAGTACCAAGAATGGCTGCATTGTTTATGCTGGACTCTATTTTGAAATTGGCCTTTCTTGAATTTTGTGCGAAATTGGCCAAATTAGTAATTTCAGATCACTTAATTGGGTAGTTGAAATAGGTAAATGGGCAGTTTCTTGTACTCAATTGATAGAATAAAAGGAGTTCTAGAAAAATAGCTATGAGTTTGGTTGACTGGACCAATGGAATTGGCCCAAAATAGAGATCAGTGGGCGAAATCACTGATGCGTAAATATCACCGAGACCATCAACTTCGCGATAGGCTAATTCCATCAAATTTCATACTTTTGGTTTCATTACCTTCGCAAGATGCACAGCAAGAAGTCAAGAGATGTTTACAGCACACGCATTAGTCGCTATACTGACTTAGACCCATGCTGTGGACTGGTGATCACATGATCTGAGCATTGTCGGTCGACAACCAAGACCATGTACAAAAACCAGGACCAAATTCCTTGTTAAACAGATTTATTTGACAACTAGTCCATTCGACTACTGAGATTCCACTGTATGTATATGCATGCAGAACAAAAATAAGAAATTTCCTTAGTCATACAAACATAAATCGGTTTTCAAGCTTTTTCATTTGGTCAGTATCACTCTCCCTCACCAATGTCCCACAGTAGTCAGCCATCAAACTGATCTTCAGATATTTTCCTGATATCTGCTCCATGCTGGCTGTCTTGATGAAATCATTCATAATGGGACTGTCACAAAGTGTAAATGTTGGAGCAAAACTAAGTTCCGATTGGAATACAGTATCCCAAAAATTAGTTAGAAGCTAGTATTTTTAACCCTTTCAGGGTCTAGAGGCCAAATTTCAAAGTGTGCACCAGGGTCCAAGAATTTTAAAAAAATAATTGTTATTTTTTCTTATGAAATGGTAGAGAATCTTTTTCTGAAGGTAATAAAACAAAAAGTATGAAATTTGATGGAAAATTGACGAAATTATGCTCTTGCGAATTTGTGTCAGCGATACTTATGCATTGGTGATTTTGCCGACTTTGACTCCCATTTTAGGCCAATTGTATTATTCCTGTCGACCAAATTCTTAGCTATTTCACTAGTATTACTTCTGTCCTATCGATTGAGCACAAGAAATCGCCAAATCAACTGTTTGAACTACAAAATAGTGATTGGAAATTGGTAATTTGGCCAATTTAATGAAAAGTTCAAAATATTCCAATTTCAAAATAGGGTCCAGAATAAACAATGCAGGCATTCCTGGCACTAAATTAACATTTCTTCTGTTCATTAGTTACATTTTCAGGCTTTATAAAAGAGTTCCATTTTTATTTTTTTATTCACATAATGAAATTTTATTCAAACCAAAAAATAGAAGATTGACTGTTATGCAATAGTGTAATAATTGTATAAATATCACCATATTTGTGAACGTATATTAGACCCACCAGCTGGTGTGTGTTAGACATGTGAAGTCATTTGTTTACTCTTGAACATCGGTGAAAATTTAACACTTCCGCTAGTTTGAGCTCAGTTTCAAGCCATTTCCAGTATTAAAACCAATCAAAATCATCTCTATTTCTGTAATATATCTTCCATTCTATCAATTAAGACCAAGAAATCGCAAAGATAACTATAAAAAATGTACGAAAAAGCACTGCAAATTTGCTGTTTTAATAAAAAATTATGGTCTCGGTTTTTCTCTCATTATGCACTGTGTGCTGCACGATTTTTTTATGTGGTGCACACACACATGTATTCTCTCATATCTAGGCCCAAATTTACTGCTCACAGCTTATCAGTGAGCTGAGCTCATGGCGTAGATCTACGGTTTAGACCCTCAACGTAAAGCCGTAGATCTACGGCACAGACCCTGGAAGGTTAAGCGTGAGCTGAAACCATTGTTGGCCAGTGTTATTAGGACTGTATTCTTATATCATTTGTTAGAATCACTGTAGACAATTTACTTTTTAAATCTGACATTGCAGATGTTGACGAAGATGCGTATCTGCTCTCACACACTGATTGGTTTGCTGATAGGACTTCTGTACTATGACATTGGCAATGAAGGAGGCAAAGTGTACAACAACTCAGGGTGCTTATTCTTCTGCATGTTGTTCCTGATGTTTACTGCCATGATGCCCACCATTCTTACATGTAAGTAATAGTATATATTCCTAATAATTAAATTTGACTTAATTTATGTAATCTGTACACTATAATTGAGTTCATTAAATGATTCTAATGCTTTGTGAATCATATTGTAATGTGTGACTTACATTTTTCTAAAAAAATTTCTATATTCTTTGACTTGTTCATTTTTCTAACAGTCCCCCTTGAGATGAATGTCTTCATCAGAGAACATCTTAATTACTGGTACTCTCTCAAATCTTATTACTTGGCAAAAACCATGGCAGATATGCCCTTTCAGGTAATTATTGAATGTTGTGTATTGGTCTTACTAATAAAAAATAGACTATAGCCAACTAGGCAGGATATCTTTGATATACTCCTTCCTTTGCCAAATGGGAGATTATAATTGCCCATCCAGTTACTGACAATGGTTTGTGACCTTTCTAGTTACAGATTAAGGTTAAGTTGCCCATCCAGCTACTAATTGTTTTAGTTACCCATTCAGTTACTGATGAAGCAAAGGGTACTTGACCAGACTGAGGAATGTGCACATAATGCTACATACCCAATGACTTGGGCAGTAAATCTGTTCCAGGCTTGTAATTCCTCAGGAATTTTTTTTTTAAAGCCTGTGAAAGTATAGATGAGAATTACTTGGATTTACTATGAGGTGTGTGTGTGTGTGTTTGGGGTAATAGGATAGGGTAAAACACGGTGATAGTTACTTTCCTTTTTAAGTTTTAAATGGTATAAGAATCAGTTTACCTAGAATGCTAAATTTTAAACAGTACAGGAATTAATAAAATTTTACCTAGATTAGTACTTATTAGGGCATTTTAGGCACAAACTGCTGTTGTTTCTTTATTGATTTGCATTAAATTTTTTTTGCTAGAAAAATCTCCACATAGAGCATAATGGGTACTCTTCTACTAGGGCAATACAGTAGGACTCCCATATCCATAGATTCGGTATCTGTGGTTTCAGTTATCCACCTTTTACCATGGCCCAAAATTATTTTTTATATATTAACACACTGGCCGATTCCCACCAAGGCAGGGTGGCCCGAAAAAGAAAAACTTTCACCATCATTCACTCCATCACTGTCTTGCCAGAAGGGTGCTTTACACTACAGTTTTTAAACTGCAACATTAACACCCCTCCTTCAGATTGCAGGCACTGTACTTCCCATCTCCAGGACTCAGGTCCAGCCTGCCGGTTTCCCTGAATCCCTTCATAAATGTTACTTTGCTCACACTCCAGCAGCACGTCAAGTATTAAAAATCATTTGTCTCCATTCACTCCTATCAAACATGCTCACGCATGCCCGCTGGAAGTCCAAGCCCCTCGCACACACAACCTCCTTTACCCCCTCCCTCCAACCTTTCCTAGGCCGACCCCTACCCCGCCTTCCTTCCACTACAGACTGATACACTCTTGAAGTCATTCTGTTTTGCTCCATTCTCTCTACATGTCCGAACCACCTCAACAACCCTTCCTCAGCCCTCTGGACAACAGTTTTGGTAATCATCCCGCACCTCCTCCTAACTTCCAAACTTACGAATTCTCTGCATTATATTCACACCACACATGCCCTCAGACATGACATCTCCACTGCCTCCAGCCTTCTCCTCGCTGCAACATTCATCACCCATGCTTCACACCCATATAAGAGCGTTGGTAAAACTATACTCTTATACATTCCCCTCTTTGCCTCCAAGGACAAAGTTCTTTGTCTCCACAGACTCCTAATTGCACCGCTCGCCCCTTTTCCCCCTCATCAATTCTATGATTCACCTCATCTTTCATAGACCCATCCACTGACACGTCCACTCCCAAATATCTGAATACATTCACCTCCTCCATACTCTCTCCCTCCAATCTGATATCCAATCTTTCATCACCTAATCTTTTTGCTATCCTCATAACCTTACTCTTTCCTGTATTCACTTTTAATTTTCTTCTTTTACATACACTACCAAATTCATCCACCAACCTCTGCAACTTCTCTTCAGAATCTCCCAAGAGCACAGTGTCATCAGCAAAGAGCAACTGTGACAACTCCCACTTTGTGTGATTCTTTATCTTTTAACTCCACGCCTCTTGCCAAGACCCTCGCATTTACTTCTCTTACAACCCCATCTATAAATATATTAAACAACCACGGTGACATCACACATCCTTGTCTAAGGCCTACTTTTACTGAGAAATAATCTCCCTCTTTCCTACATACTCTAACTTGAGCCTCACTATCCTCGTAAAAACTCTACACTGCTTTCAGTAATCCACCTCCTACACCATACACCTGCAACATCTGCCACATTGCCCCCCTATCTGCCCTGTCATATGCCTTTTCCAAATCCATAAATGCCACAAAAACCTCTTTAGCCTTATCTAAATACTGCTCACTTACATGTTTCACTGTAAACACCTGGTCCATACACCCCCTACCTTTCCTAAAGCCCAAAAATAACTGTTAATTATGCTTAATAATGGCCACAAAGGTAGTGATGCTGGCAGTTCTTCAAAGACTAAGAGAAGCTGTGAAATGCTTTTCATCATTGAAATAGTGCTGATTCTTGACTTATTTTTACACAATTTATTAACTAAAGTATCATGGTTACGTATGTAAATGAAAGATGACATGCATAGGATTCGCTACTATCCGCAGTTTCAGGTGTCCATGGTAGACCTTGGAATGTATCCCCCTGTGGATATGAGGGGACTACTGTATTTGCTAGTTACCCCATGACAATTTTTTTTTTCCTCAAGTGGTTTTGAGCATTTTGTACATAAAGTAACTGAGGAAACTAAATTTTGCCTATATGGTTTCAGACCACCAATACAATCCTGCTGTGTATCAGTGAAATTGTTTCTCATTTATATTGTCTTAATGCCTTTAACTCTTGCAGGTATTATACCCACTTCTATATGTTTTGCTGGTCTACTTCCTAACAAGTCAACCTTTGGAAGCTCACAGATTTTTCATGTTCACTACAATGTGCATAATGACATCATTGGTGGCTCAATCTCTTGGCTTGGCTATTGGTGCCTGCATGAATATACAGGTAAAATTGTTAGTTCTTTAAGTTTACCCAATTATTTGTAATCTTTAATACTTAAGTTGTAGCCAGACCCTTGTTTCTTCCCCCCACTTCATTTCCTCTCAACCCCACAATGTTTAGTTTGTGCTACTGGTGGCTAAATTTACTTATTACTGTAAAATGAACTTATTAAAGAACTTGAAAGGAATTACATACCTCCTTAAAGCATCTTTTAACCATATTTAGTCGTCTTGTATTTACATGACAACTATTTGTGTACTATAGGGAAACCTATATGGCTCGGTGCAAACTAGCCTAAACAGAAGGGGGTGAGCAAGGAGTACTTGGTACAGTATTGTCAAAACCCGAGGCAACAAAAAGGTAAAAAGGCTACCTTTTCAACTCCCACAGCTAACTAGACTGTCTAATAATAATAATAATTTCTACACATAGTAGGCTGGCAGACAACAACCACCCATTGAGGTACTATCGTCCAGCCAAGTGAGTGTAAAACGAAAGCCTTTAATTGTTTTACATGACGGTAGGATTGCTGGTGTCTTTTTTGTCTCGTGAACGTGCAAGAATTCAGTTACATTTTGCTACTTCTACTTACACTTAGGTCACACTACACATTCATGTACAAGCATATAATACACACCCCTCTGGGTTTTCTTCTATTTTCTTGCTAATTCTTGTTCTTGTTTATTACCTCTTGTCTCCATGGGGAAGTGAAACAGAATTCTCCTCCATAAGCCATGCTTGTTGTAAGAGGACACTAAAATGCCGGGAACAAGAGGCTGATAACCCCCCTCTCCTGTGTACATTACTAAAGTTAAGAGGGGAATCTTCTGTTTTTGCTTTTTGGGCCACCCTGCCTTGGTGGGATATGGTCAGTTTGTTGAAAGAGGAGGAGGATTACTGGTGTGTCTTATCTCATAAATGTGCAAGGTTTCAGGTACATCTTGCTACTTCTACTTACTTAGGTCACACTGCACATATATAGACAAGCATATATATAATTATACACACACACACACACACACACACACACACCACACACACACACACACACACACACACACACACACACACACAGTGTAGTGGGTCACAAGCGCCAGGCTCCGAGGATCTTAGTGCTTTTAGGGCGTGTTTTTAGCAGCTAGAAGCATCCAGTGTTAGTGACGTCAGTGAACAACCCTACAAGTGATAACCAATGTGTTAGAAAAAATAAATAAAGTTAAGGCGAGAGAAAGCCTGAAATTATACAACAAAATTTCAAAGTGCCAGTTCGTTGAGGCCTAGTGGGCACCTGTTGCCACATTGTTACATATATACAAAGTACAAAGCGAGTGACTAAAGAGAAAAGACCAAATAGAATTAAGAGAGGGTGGTAACGACAAAATGTGATGTATCACACAGCGTGAACAAGCTAGCCAGAAAGGGGATATATATATGTATACATAAATATATATAAGCAGAGGTGGTGGCAGCAGTAGGCCTGAGGGAGTAGGCCGCCATAACAGGTTGGGTGTCATCACAAATAAGTAGGGTACTTACCAAAAGTGGGGTGAAAATTAAAAAAAGTAAGCAGTATACAAGTGATAAGTGTGGTAAATGAGGACTCAAAAGGGCAAGAGATAAGTATAGCCGAAGAAGTCAGAGGCGGAAGGGCGAGGTGTACGAGTCATCATACAACGAGCATCGTACAGCGAGCATCGTACATCAGGCATCTGGATGGACGTCCCCTCTGAGTAACGTACAAATCTCACTTGTCTGTGGTGGCGGGAAGTCTGAGGTAGAACCGGCCCGGCGGACACTGGTAGCTGGGTATCTTTAACCCTGCTCCAGGGCGATTATCATACACAAAACACCTAGCAGTAGTAGGAAGATAAAATTTGTAGG